TCTCTCTCTCTCTCTCTCTCTCTCTCTCTCTCTCTCTCTCTCTCTCTCTCTCTCTCAGATCGAGTTTGACCTTTCGCCAGCCACCGCCTCCTCTCTCTCTAAATTATCCACGCTCTCTCTCGACACCACATCCTCCTCCTCCTTCTCTCTCTTTACTTGAGCCTTAAGTAGATCCATTTCCCCACCCTCTCGCTCTCTCTCTGTCTCTCTCTCTCGTTTCCATCAAAAAGAATAAACCCTAATTTCAGTTTCTCTCTAGCTCTCTCTCTCTCTCTCTATTGCAATCATACACTCCTTCATCAGATCTCAGCATCTCTCTATCTCTATCGGCGTCTTTCGAGGAAAAAGCTAAGTTTACTTCCTCCTTGTCCAAACTTTAACTCTGAGTTTCTTCTTCTGGTAATAGTGGAAGCTTGCAGTCTCCATGGTGGAGGAGATGAAGATTACGATTCATCCTCAGGAGAAGCAGATCGCTCACCTTTCCTAATGCCTTCCTTCTCCTCCTCCTCCTCCACCGCAGCCGTCACCTGATCCTCCACCGCCACCGTCCTCGCCGGAGACACGAATCTCTCCTCCACAACTTACCTAACTTTGTCGACAACATCATGAACCCACACTTTCCAAATTTACCCTCCATGCCCTCTTCTTCTCACCATCTCCATCTTGACCCTGATGCACCAATTCTCGACCAGAGCAGTGCGATCCCACCGCCACCTACGGCGCCGTCGTCATCCGGCGGAGTCATCGCCACCAAGAACCCTAAGAAGCGGACAAGAGCATCAAGAAGAGCACCCACCACCGTTCTTACAACAGACACCACCAATTTCAGAGCAATGGTGCAAGAATTCACGGGAGTTCCCTCTCCGCCGTTCTCCACCGGCCATTCTTATTCCTCCCTCCGTCGCTTTGATATTTTCCGGCCACCCCCTCCGTCGTCTTCCGGTCACAATCTTGATCCTCTCTACAACACTTTTCACCCCACATCTCAAAAGGTTCAAACTTTTATCTCTTCATCATCGTCATCATCTTCATTGATGAATTATCGCTCCAACATCGTCGCTTCCATGGCTTCTCCGGCGATGAACTTTCAGTCTCTTCCCGATTTACCCCTCCCCATGCTTCCTCTAGAAACACAGAACACCCAAGTTCGGACATTTCAGTCCCTCATGTCTCACCAACAACAACATCAATCGGTTTCGCCTCTTGACGAGCTTAACGCGATGAATCTAGGGTCGTTACGACACGACAAAGATCAAGAACATGATCGTGATCGTCATCGGTTGATGACCAGACAGGTTGATGTCCCGTTGCCGACACCGTTACCGATGCTGCCGGAGTTTGATCGCCGGGAAAAGGGATCAGAGACTTATAATACCAATGTTTCCACTTCTTCATCTTCGATCAAAGGTACTACTACTATTACAACAGTTGATCCATGGAATTGCCACACAGATTAATTATTATTACATAACTTTAATTATTTTCTATACAATAATGTAATTAGTCCTTGAGGTCGGATATTATCAGGATTTTGATGGTGTATTCCTTCAAAATATATTCTTGTTTTTCATGATATATTCTGGCAATGCCTTTGCTACACTTTACAGTAACGATCGATATTGGGGTATATGATTCTCCACGACGTATAGGTATATATACACACACATGCATGTAAAGGTTTATAATTATATGTAAGCCGTATATTTCGATTTTTCTCGGGCCTTTTTTTTTTCTGGTAACGAATATTTTCTCGTGCCTTGTCCTGACATTTTTAGGTTATTGAGTATATCACATTCGAATTTGGCCCGTAAGTGTATGTACCAAATGAGCAGGAACGGTCGACACATGTGTCATATATCCGATCGGTTTGCCATCTCCCTTTGTATTATACGGTCATTAATAATCTTACTAGTATAGTTAGTTATATCCAATTCCCGTAAATATATATATTTTTTAAAAAGGATCGGTTACTATTACTTGCTATAATGATCTGTCACACATAAATACATAATATTGATTTTTTTTTAATAGCAAAATTATATGTTCTCAAAGTAATAATCTATATTCTCCGACACAAACGGCAAGTCAAGTATTACTTATCAAAGTGGATCTAATATCAAAGAAGTTTGAGTTTCTTCTTGGTTGTACAAATTATTATGGTTTAAGTGATGTCGTATTTACTCAAATTAATAATAAGATTCATTTGTTTAGAATTTACTCCCTCCGTTTCAAAATAATTGTTGTTTTAGGTTATTTCATATTTTTTAAGAAAACAGACAAAAATTCACATATACCCTTATTTGATAATAAAATAATATTATCATTAATAATTTATTGGAATTTGATAAGGATAAAATTGGAAACTATTGTAAAAAAATGTCTTGTAAATGTAGAATGACAAATATTTTGAAACATGAAAGATAATCTAAAACTACAAATATTTTGAAACGGATGGAGTAATATAATTCGAGAGTGTGGTATCCACACATCGAATATTGTCCAATTATTTTGGTAAAGCCTAAATGCATGAATATATTCTGCTTGATTATTAATTACTTATCTTTTGCGATTGGTTGTTTTCGTCAAGCTATTATTGTAGCTTATTAGGAGGGCAAGACGTTGCGTATGCCCACTCGGTTTCGTGTGTACATGTCTATCTATAAACACACACTGTTATCTCTTGAAGCTATATATATATGTGAGTGTGTGTGTATATATATATATATATATATATATATATATATATAATGCTAGAAAAATGTGCAAATGGTAATGTTTGATAAGTGAAAATACAATCAATAAACACGTAAAGAAAAGGAAAATTCAACAAGCTACATTAGATATAAGAAAAATAATTTCAGAATCTAATGTTAGTATAAAACTAATCATCATGACATCTTAATAAAAATATAGTGGGCATAGTTGTTGAAAAAGTGAGGCACTGGAAAATATTAGTATAAAGTTTATGAAAACTTAATAATATAGGTTTGTCTTGGAACTTTCCTAGTTTCCATATATATAATTTCTTTATGTAATTATGTATGTAGTAAACATTTTCTCTTTGTAGTTTTTACACACACGTTTGAATTGTGGAAAGTTTTTTTTTTTTATAGGATCGTATTATTCCTAATAGTCAATGGTCTTCGAGTTATGGATCGTCTCCAGAGTTTCCAGATTTCGCCGCCACATGCTGTTCTTATCTTCTCATGATGACTTAAAATACTTAATCGATTTAATTCGAAATTTAATTTAAAGATATCATTATACGGATAATACACTGTCCATGCATCGCCGGTCTACTGCAAACCAACTCTCTCTTGTTTAATCATAATTTAGGGAGATTAAATTGTTACAAAATATGCGTGCATGCACGTACGAAGAACTTGTACATTAAATAGTGAGTGTGTATATATATATATATATATATACACAGAGATCATACATATATATATGTATACAAGAGTAATGGGTTTGTAACACAATGATGAAAAATCCTTGGGGATCAAGTTGGAGGAGATTTTGAGGGCATGATGAAACTATTATAATCATATGAATTTGGGTGATATTTGTGTCTCTTTCTTTGTTGGAATCATTTGGAACGGCCCACGCCAGGGAATAATATTATTTCCAGTAATTATTATGAGCATATATTCATTCCCTTTACATACGACAACCCCGAAACAGCTTCACATACATACAAAATAATACCCGTACATGCACACATACATTAACATACATATAAATCGATATCCGTAGATACGTATGTACGTACATACATGCATACATGATACATAGAGAGACGACTTCAGAGTCAAGACTTCGACTTTTGCAGCATAAGACGAGCGAGTGGCATTAGATATTATAAAATAACCATCAAATCATGCACATACTATATAGTATAAACGATGTGGACGATGCCCATTTGGTTACGCATCGTTTTTTCTTCGAACTCTTCTTGGTTTGTTTGTTCCCCCTAATTTTCTAGATTCTCGATGGGGCCTCCTTAGGTTTCGTTTCTCCACCTGTATCGTATATGCATAGTAACGTATAATATATTATAATGCAATCAATACGTGAATCGAAAATTTTTAAAAAAAAAATGAGCAGCGCGCGTATCTCTCAAACAACGCATTCGTTATTCATTTTGGTTTTAAACATTAGGATCAATGGATAACGTTATATATGGAAACTAGGCCATCATGCGATGTCTTAAAATCGACAGCCAGATTTTTAGTATTGTTACATTTTTTAAGTCTCTAAATCCAAATGATTTATCATTAGGGTTTAAAGCATATACTAACTTTTTATTTATAATCATACAAGAAAAGGAGCATCTATTCTGAGGATTTGAGACTACAGCCAAAAAAAAAAAAAAAAAAAAACATCAGTAGGAACATAAGAGTTTGAGCTGGTTTCCCATTAGAACTGGGGAATTTGGGGCATTATTTTCGTGTCTGCCTAAGTGGTACGTTGACAGAATTTCAACAAACCCACTTGAGCTCCCCCACTAACTTTCATGGCTATGATTTATTTATTTATTTATTATTGTTATTATTATTTGTATTTTCCTTTTATTTTTTTTTTAATCTGTAACGATAATCCAAGATGTTAAATGCTCAAAATGAGCATTAATCGATATTATATGTCTTCACATGATTAGAGTGGTATTTTATAAAATAAATAGTATACAAGTGATCTCGAACCACAACATAAACATGGAACTAAGACAAATCTTATTTATATCCTTATTCGAGTATTTGGAATGATGTCAGTCTAGCACTTGGGTTTAACTTTAGCCACATCATAATCGCCCTAACGCCTAATTCCACAAACATCATTCATGTTTTAAAAACATTTCGTACCCTCGGCTTCGATTTCACTACTGAGAGGAGAGATGTAATTTCTGGACCAAAATAGTCCATATACAAAGGATGATCTCAGACCTATAGGGTGGATATAGTCGGGTCGAAAGCCCGAAGAATAATCCTGGTTATAAAAAAAAACATTTTGTACCCTACAATCCCTCTACTTCATTACTGGACACACCAAGTATGTGACTTCACCGGGATTCGAATCTTTATCCGGAGAAGATATTCAACTAGATTTTATCGATCTTCTGAAAAATATAGTTGAACAGGAATTATGGTGAACTTTTAGATTATAATACATATATATATATATATGTATATGTATGGCTTGGATATTGGATGCCAGATTGGTATAGTTTTGGATACTCATCGTCGTCTGTTGGGCTTCTTAGCTCATTTTGGATACTCGCATAAGCACGTATTGTGGACCGCCAATGCAATGGGCTACTATGTGAATGAAGTCCTGACACGTGTTCGGCCCGATTAGATTCTTATCTCAAGATCAACGGCTGAGAATCCCTGGCTAATTTCGCTGCTAAACCAATTATATCCGTAACAGGTTTAATTTGCACCAGTTGAGGCCCAGTATTGTGGCTCCTATGACTTAAGCCCCACGAAAGAGAAGACAGAGAGAGGATCACGTGAACGGTCACGTGACTTAGGTCCCAACAAAACTTTTTTCCGTGCAATGCATTGCACACATTGCCCGATCATCCTATGTGGGGTCCTATCCTGTGTAAAATTCAGTACTTATTATTTAATCGTTTTAAAAAAATTTTTTTGCATCATCTATGGAATTTTATTCTCTATTTACCAAAATATTTTTTTTGATGATATCATATACATGAAATATTTTCAATATTTATAATATTAAATTCCTATATTGATTATTTATATGAAATTTAAGAATTTTAATTTAATATTCTTATATATATATATAAAATTTATTGGATCGCTGGGTTTCTAAACAAGTATTTTATTAGAATATCTCAACCACCGTTCGTTACAGATAATAACATATTTTACATAATAATATACAAACATATAACATAATGTGTTACATATCATATATTTACTGTTGAAAAAATATAGTAAATATCAATATTTTATTTCTACATATATGTATATATTTATATATTCAATTTTAAATTTTGTCTCTCATTTATATTAAAAAAACTTTCCTAATAAACACCAACTATATTTTATTAAAAATTTGTCTATTCAAATTTAGCTTAATGCAAATTAAATATACTACAAATTTGTTTTAATTCAGTAATCTTTCTTTTTATATCTTATATGACAAAAGAATAATACAGATTCGCTCCCACCTTAGTCACGTGATCATCGAATCTGTTTTCTTGCATCGTTTTAGTTTTCCAAATTTGATAATTGTAGTTTCACCATTCTTTTGTTTTTCCAGCTAATTTGCGAATAAGAAGATGACACGTGGCAGAAGACCAAACCATGACAGTAATTTGGGCAACCAAAAAAATAAAAAAAGAAATTCACCCTGCCGACAAAAATGAGATTGGTCCAAGGAAGATGGTCGGTATTTGTATTAAGCTTTGGATGATGGTTAGTTTAGATATGATTTTGATGTTGTTCTTTACAAGTCAATTCCCAAATCATTTCATTTTCCTTTCACTAATACAAATGTCTTGATTCCTCTTTTGCTTTTGTCTTTTACATCATTCTTCCATTTCCCTTCCTAAATTTTCTAATGTTTTTACAATTCATGTAACTAGATGCAGGCATTTTAGTTTCCATTTCGATAGTTTTCGTCCTATTCTTGGTTATATTCATATGTATTATTCCATTAGATTTATTTTGGGGTCGGCCGCATGAATTATTCTTTTACACTCATTTTGGTTTTGCATCATATCTTCCAAAATTTACAACATGATTTTATTTGGGATCGATTGCATGAATTTAGTCACGTTTTAGAATTAAAAAAAAACATTCAGAGCATATTAATTCGTATTACTTGGAGAGTTGGTATAGTATTAATTCGTTAGAATTACATATTGAGTTGTCATAATTGGCCATGAATAAACAAATCATGGATTGCTAACCAATTTGATTAAGGTAATTGATGATGATAGGTTGATACTACAAACGGGAAGATTCCAATTGGTTTTCAGTAACCTAATTAATATTCGATTTGTTTGGTGCTAACTTCGAGGCCAAACAGTATCCATATAATAATAAACACTTGTCATGTATATATATATATGTATATATGTGTGTGTATATACACGTAGCGAATGAACACATGGATGCATCATGCCATGGATCAATCTGGCAACATCGTTCACCATATTTTTAAATGATGTAAATTCCATAAGATCTTAGTAATTATGAAGCCCATACGGTCCTCTCCTCTCACAGAGGATGTTTCGTTGTTTATCACGTGCTCATCCCTCCGACCAAAAAGTCCTTTTTTCACATTCCCACACACATGCTTATACACATATCTAAAATTAACATGTAAATTTTGAATCATAATACATATAACTATAATTGAATTGAATTTTATCTAAAATTTGATTAAAACGTAATTATTTAAATCAAATTAATTTTATATGATCCGAGCTCAACTCTAAAATAAATTTTTTTTAAAAAAACTATTTAGAAATATTTTTTTTAAAAATCGAATGAAACCAAATATAGATTATTTAAAAACTGATATACATACTATATTAATATATTTAAAAAAAAAACCCCCGCTAATAGATTTTTACGTGTAACCCGCATGGCATATTATACAGGTTTTATAGGTGGATTAACCACCGCATAATAATATATATTATATATTAGACTATGGGCATTTTCCAATGGACCCGAAATATATGTATAAATCCGAATAATTATACGGAATGGCTGCATAGAGATATTGAGTTGGATTATCGCTCGGGTTTTGGATTAATGAAATAACTTTGTTTTGTGAAAAAAAAAATTGATTATCCTAATTTTTTAATCGATGATTGGAATAATCTAAAATAAATAAACATAATTAGGGGAAGATGCGTTTAGTTAGCCGAAATTTCAGGCCACATTAAGAAACACAGAATTACCGGAAAGTTTCGATCCACTGAAAGACAAAGATTATTAATTATATAAACTTCGTACAACATTGCAGATCTCAATCCTTTCGACAGAAAGATTTGTTGGATATTATTTTAATATATTTATATTTGATTTTAAATTTTTTGCTTAAAAAATATAGAATAATAATAATTAATATTATTATTTTGATTAATTTGATTTCAGTATATTTTTATCTCATACGGATTATCGTCTTTTGGAATTACTTCGCGTTGATTGGTGGTGAGACGCAGAGAATGTATTTGCGTACGATATAAAACTCGAAATTCCTTCCTGGCTGTTGATCAGGGATATTATGGTAATTTTACTGTTTTGCTTAGCTGGCAACTGAGCAATTATTTTTCTTTTTTTATTTCAACTTTTCCCCTTTCTAGTTTTTTTTTTGTTAACGGCCACACGCTTGCTTGTTTGAACGGTGTATATACAAAATTTTGTTTTATTCACATATCATATTTTTTTTTTTTTATAAATTCTGTTTTATTTTTAAATTCTAATTAATAGGGAAAATTAATGTCAAATTAGTGCAAATTTAGCGTTTTTAAGAGTTTATTTTATTGGCATATCACAAAAAACATTTAATCGAAAGCAAGGATGTCACCTTGGAAAAGTTATGAAATGGTCCCCCAGTCTAAAACATCTAAATTAACAAAAAATGGTATACCTAAACCCTCAAATTTTAATTAATATTTTTTTTTCTGAATACATGGCTGCTTCAAGTTATAAAAGCAGACACCACATTTGCAAATTCACCACAAAAGATCAACATTAACCACGTCCTCAGTTTTCTTAGAATTAATTTGAGATCTATTAGCACAAAACTAGAAATTTAATTACCATAATTTTGAAGTGTTTTGAGTATTTTGACAAACAAAATATACGATTTGAAATTATAACGTCTATGAAACATAACAGTCATAATCTTACATTATTTTTCGCACGGTCCTAGATATAAGCGGATTTGATTTTCGAAACAGAAACGCGAAGGGTATTTTAGTAAAACGAGATACAGGAGCACCGGCTAGAGCAGGTAATGATCCAATGCCACCGGCACCTGCCAGTGATATCAAAGACCCCTTCACATGCTATGAGAATAAAAAAAAAGTAATTAAAAAGAAAAAGAAGGGCCCTCCAATTGGCAAAGGCGGTACTTGTTTCAAAAATTCACCGGTAGAGAGAGAAAGAGAGAGGAGAGAGAATCCTCTGCATCACTTTGTGTGTGTGTGTGTATATATATATATGCAATCTCGCTTTTTCTTAGTGTTGAAACCGAACGAAGAGTAGCTACCACTCCACTCTTCCTGTTTTTCTCTGTGTTTACGTTATTCGTCTCTCTGGATCGGTTCTTCCGAGCAATCGAAACGAATCCGCCATTGCTGTTGAAGCGAGCTTATAGCAGGAAGAATCGTAACCTCTCTTTCTCACGCGAGCTATTTCTTCCTCCGTATCTGTTTATTGGAATTTGGAGGATTATTTTGTAAATTTTTTTTTTCTGGTTTTGGGTCAAGAATCGAGAGTGGTTTAGGAGGAGAACTGGAGAAGATGGAGAGAAGCACTCCGGTGAGGAAACCACACACATCGACGGCGGATCTGCTGACGTGGCCGGAGAATCAGCTGTTCGAGTCTCCCGCCGCCGCTCGCTCCGCCGTCCGGTCGAACCAGGTACCGATTTAGTAACCTTTTTTCTACCGGAGATTTAGCAACTAGAATTTGATTTGATCGGAGGATATTTTGAATTTTCAAAATTTTAATTTCTAATTGGGGGAAATTATCGTAGCCGTCGGATGGGATCAGTAAGGTGGTGTTTGGAGGGCAAGTGACAGATGAAGAAGTGGAGAGCTTAAACAAGAGGTGAGAAATCTGGCGAAGTTTTACCCTCCATTTTTTTGCCTCATCTTCACCAGAGGGAAAGAACGACACGTAGTTCCCTCTGCTTTTGTCTATTGCGTCTGATGATCTTGTCGTTTTTTTCCTTACGGAATGTCTGTAATTCTTCAATAGGGAATTTGAAATCGGCGTAATAAATGCCATGGTTCTTTCTTTAATTTGTATTATTCACGGTTCTCTTCTGCGTTTTTGTCTCTTTCTGCAGTTTTTTTTCGTTCTCGTTTTCTTTTGGGAAAAAATCGATGCTTTGTTCTTTACATGGACCAAAGATTTAGAGATACACGACAGACCCTCATTTCTCCATAATTCAATCGAGTATGGTTTAAAATGATTCTGGAAAGTAAGTTTATTTTTTTCGCATTTGCTGATGGCACCTTCATATGGGTGTGTTAGGCTAATTATTCACGTGGGTATGATCAGTTCTTGGGAATTGGGATAGACAGATAAAATGCCATTTTATTTAACTGCATTTTTCCATTTTTTTTGTAATATTTTGTTGGTACTCGAATCGTATTTCACTTCAAATGGAAATTAGCTTTTAACTTCTGGTGTATGATTACCCTAGGAAGCCTTGTTCAAACTACAAAATGAAGGAGATCACTGGGAGTGGCATTTTCTCAGTGTACCAAGAAGAAGATGCATCAGAGCCCGGAAGTGCCAACCTGACCGCAAACGGCAAAACAAGAACATATCAGGTGATTGATCTTAGTTCCTGTCCATTTCTAAGACATTATTGTGGATTGCAAAAGTTAGAAAAATACGGAACTTTGAGGTCTTCTACAATACATTTGATCGAAAGTTCACTCTTTTCTGATCACTGTATTCGGATTCTTCAGCATCCCCCGGCAGCTATTGTAAGTCACATATCATTCGGTGAGGAAGAGATCGTCACCCCGAAGAAGCCAACTACGGTACCCGAAGTGGCGAAGCAGCGTGAGCTCAGTGGGACGCTGGAAAGCGAATGGGATGCTAAGCTGAAGAAACAGATTTCGGATGCTAAGTGCAAGGAGCTCAGTGGTCATAACATCTTTGCTCCTCCACCAGAGATTCAAGCTCGGCCTACTGTTCGTGCTTTGGCATACAAGGACAACTTCAACTTGGGAGAATCTAATGCCCAAACTGTAAGCTCTCTGAATCCCTATCTCCCTATCGATTTCCAACGAACTAGCACAATTGAAATGGCTGGGTTTTGTGGTCTTCCCACAATTGGAAAGAGGGGCTTTGGCAATATGGTGTTGTCATCCCATTCGTGATGAATCTAAAGATATGAGATGAAGATTTTTCGTGGGTTCTGGTTTATTTTGCAGAATGCAGAAGAAAATGTGCTGAAGACGGCGAAGAAGATACCGGAGAGGAAATTCTCCGACCTATCTGGAAACAACATTTTCAAGGGCGATGTTCCTCAGGCATCAGCTGAGACGCTTCTAAGCAATGCAAAGTTGAAAGAGATGACTGGAAGCGACATATTCGCCGATGTGAAGGCTGAATCTCGGGACTACTTTGGCGGCGTACGCAAGCCTCCGGGTGGCGAAAGCAGCATTGCCCTTCTCTAAGAACCGAAAAAAGAAAACCATTATGTGTTTTTCAATCTGGCGGAAAATTAATCTGCTCTTATTAGGTTATCCGTTTGTTCCTTTGTTACTGATGATGGGTTTCACTTTCAGATGAAACTTCTGTGGCTAATTTCGTGGGTGTGTTTTGTTTATATCGAATGTTCCGGGGCTAATATGTGAAATGATAAAAGTTTGTGGGGTATTTTGTTGAATTGGAACAAGTAGGTATCTTGAAGAAGATGGAGAGACCGTATAAGTAGGCACAGAGTCTGTTTTCTTGTCTGGCAAGGAACGCATTGCCCTGGTCTGTCCCAAAACAGAAATAAAAGACCAAATCAGAGAGGACAATAGAGATTGTTTTAATGAGCACACAGACACACTACCCTTTTCTTATTTACAATAAAGAATTTTAAATTTGAAAATCGAAGATGGCACATTTTGGTCATAGGCATATCTGAGAATTTTCCAAAATTATGGCAAAACCCAAAACCCAAGTCCTGTTAAAGTTTTATCACGAGAGATTTGCTTGAACGCTATCTAGGAATGTACACGTAACGGTTATCCGCGTTTTTTGATATACCCGTTTTCGTATTCATTTTAGCGGGTTTTATAAAAATATTATCTCTAACTTATTCTTACAATATCTAGATATCCATCTAATGGGTATCGGCGACTAAATGATGGAAATCCACGAATATCGGATACGTGTGTATAATATTTATCAATTTAAAATCAAATAAATACCCAATAAAATCATATATATTTTTGAAAAAAATATATTTAAAGTTTGAAACAAATGGGGTTTTAGAATTTTCTTTTTTCCTGGGTGTGTTTTGTTTATATATGATTTTTCAGGACCTTTGTTTTTTTTTTATGAGATCATATTTTAGAGAAATAGTTTATAACTGAAGAGCTTAGGGGGGGGGGGGGAGTGAGATTAGGCGTTTCTGTTGTTGGTCTAATAACACTTAATTAGTAGTAAAACCATCAGCCAAGACCTTAAATTAATTTACTTAATCGCTCCCTCATTAACATCAGAACATGGCTCAAATAAAAAAAAGTTGCCTTTTTTTTTGTTTCAGTTTTCCGGGAGAGGGGGAATGGAGGAGCAGTGACAGAGCAGAGAGACGCAGCAGCGGCTCTGTTCCATATTAATGGCGGGTGTTCCTGCAAAACGACAAATCCGACAGACAATCCTCAGACGTTCTCCGTACGGATGCTCGCCTCCACAGACACGCTTATATACTCTCTCTCTCTCTCTTTGTATAACCGTCGATTCGTATCCGAAAAATTCCCTTCGAAACCCATAGATAAGTAGCTGGAAACTTCCCGGAAAATGCTGTAGAAATTCAAATCTCTCTCTTTTCTCTCGCTTTGTGTTCGTCTCTTTCTCTCTGATTTGGGTTTCTGCGTTTTCGTGTGTTGTTTTGATATATAGATAGAATAGTGTAATATACAGAGTGTTGTGTGGGTGTTTTTCTTGATGTTTGAAGAGTCGTTTATGGATTTTGGGGCTTTTCCCGGTGATTCTAACGTCCGACGAGCTTCATTTTCGGATCATCCTCGTTTTCGTGATCTGGGTTCTGCAGATTTTCCTCCGGGTCCTGTTTCCGGTGGTTTTTGCTTGCCCCACGTCCGTACGCCTCCGATCATGAACCCCTTTATGAACGATCAGTGTCATCTTCACCATCTGAAGCTGTACACCAGCGGTCGGAATCAGATGGTCGGTGGTGATCTGGGTTTGTGTGAAGATCTAAGCGGAATGAGTCTCTCCAATGAATGCAACCGTGTTCTCGCTCGACCCGACCCGTTTTGGCTCGACCCCGATGTTCTCGGGTCTCGGGTTCACGACGGGTTCTCTGTGTTCGATCGGGGCATTCGTCGTGACGATGAAATTCCTCGCCGTTACAATGCGTTTCACAACGTTTCCTCTGGTCGAGAAACTTCTCTGTACACCTCTAATGGAGTTTCTCTCGGCGGTTACGCTGCTGATAGTGATGATGACATGTTCAGATTGCTTCACTCGCGAGATTTTAATCCTGAAGGTTTTAACGAGATCATCGCTCGAATTAGGAGAGATATTCTCATGGAACAGAGAAATGGGTCATTTCGACAGAGCTTGCCCAACATGGACACCGGTTCATGTTTCAGGGTTCCGCAGCTACACTCTCAAGTGATGAACGATGTGTACAACAGTCCACCGATGTTCGGTGGGAATAAGGTTTTTCAATCTCTGTCGAGTTCAGCCATGGAAGATTGCTCTAGAGAGCTCAAAGCTTCTAGTTTGGAGGATGGTTTGATCATCCAAGGACCCAACAACAGTTTTCCTGCTAACGAGATGGAATCATACTTCAAGGATGATCTCTGGAGAAGCGGTGATGAATCTGAAAATCAGGGTTTTCTTCCGAGTCTTGCCTCCATGATTGGGTTTTACGGCTCTGTGTACGTAATGGCGAAAGATCAGATCGGTTGCCGGTTCTTGCAGAGGATGTTTGATGAAGGAACGTTTCTCGATGTGACGATGATATTCGGAGAAGTCATCGATCATCTCATTGAGCTCACCATTGATCCGTTTGGGAATTATTTCATTCAGAAGCTACTGGGCGTGTGCACTGAAGAACAAAGATCACAGATAGTGATCATGATGATGTCAAAGCCAGGCCAGCTGATCAAAGTCTCCCTCAACACTTATGGGTAAGATCGATCTTTCCTTTTTGTTTTGATCCCTTCTCTGCTATATTTGCAAGAACTCAAAGGTCATAGTACAATACTTTTCGAAAGTTTTCGTGAGTATCTGTATACATTTGCAATGGAGGAAAAGTTGATGGACAAGTAAGACTATTTGCCTTCACTTCGATTTATAAAACCACTTGATATGTTATGTTCTTTCTTGCAAGCTTCACGTATTCAGTAAAGCTGAAACCTTGGATTCATTATATCGAACGGGCAGGACCCGAGTTGTGCAGAAACTGATCGAAACCCTAAGAACGAAGAAGCAAATCGCGCTCGTGACTTCTGCCCTCAAACCGGGTTTTCTTTCTCTGGTTAGAGACCTGAATGGGAATCATGTTATTCAGCGTTGCTTGCAATCCCTTGGCCCGGATGATAACAAGGTTTCGACAGAAGAAATATCTACTTTCCATCTCATCAAATTCGATATTTGTTTTTACAGTTCTCGATGAACACATTTCTTTCTTGCTTCAACAGTTCATTTTCGAAGCGGCTACAAGGTTCTGTATCGAGATTGCAACTCATCGTCATGGATGCTGCGTCCTGCAACGATGCGTTGCTTTCTCAGCCGGGCCGCAACGCAGTAAGCTTATTGCCGAGATCTCGAGAAACTCCCTTGTCCTTTCACAAGATCCCTTCGGGTAATAGAACTGATATGATACACGATATATGAGCGGATCTTGGATTCTTTCGGGCATTTTGGTAACGATTTACTGTCGGAAATGATGGGGGGTGCAGGAACTATGTAGTGCAGTATATAATAGAGCAGAAGGTGCCGGCGGGTAACGTGCTGTGCCAACTGAGAGAGCATTACGTGCAGCTATCGAAGCAGAAGTTCAGCAGTCACGTGGTGGAGAAATGCCTCAGGCATTTCCCCGAGAGCCGTTCCCAGATCGTCCACGAGCTCATATCAGTCACTAACTTTGAGCAGCTTCTTCAAGATCCTTACGCAAACTACGTGATCCAGTCTGCGCTCGCCGTCACCAAGGTCAGCACCCCCTCTCGGATCTTCGCCCGTTAAACCTATACAGGCTGCGTATATGCGCGTGTGTATGTATATATATATATGAATTGTTATTTGGCGGATATGAGCGCAGGGAGCGGTTAAGGCGAGCTTGGTGGAGAAGGTGCAGCCTTACAAAAACCTTAGGACGAGTCCTTATTGCAAAAGGATTTTCTCTCGAAGCCTCCCCAAGAAGTAGTCCGATACTGTCGGCTTTTAACTCGCTTTTGGTGCACGCAAATGTTGTTGTTTTCCTCCCCAAGAAGTAGTCCGATACCGAAAGACAAATCTCTTCCGTCTGTTGTTTGAAGCTTTTTGTAGCAATCATCAAGTCACGAACCGAACTTGATGTCTTAGATTCGCGTTTGGTCTCTCGCTTGATCTACTGATGTTTAGGATCGTTGTGTTGGTAAATACACGAAGATCGCCAATTCATGATTAGGTATATACCGATAAAACCAAACGAGTTCTCTTAAAACAAAAAAAAAAAAAAGTAAAACTGAACCGGACCTGATTAAAACCTAATTCTATATAAAATAGATATGTTATAATGAAGCCAAACCCGGAATGACCACTCCTATTATTCATGATGACGAAAACGCACACAGGTTACTCTCATTTCGCATTATTGGGGAATTAAAAGTACGCTCAACAACTCCAAAATACATGAATTATAAAACAAAAGTTGCTCACCAAAAGCAAGTTCTGGGACTCAAGTCTGGCGTAAACAACAAGAACGTTCTGCTCTAAAGAACAGAATCACACTCAAAGGGGAAAAGCTTCGGGTTCGGGTTTTATTCGTTTGGAGAAAGGGGGTTTAAGCATCGTCCTCACCGAGCAGAGCGAGAAGCATCTTCTCGTAGTCACCGTGAGTGTCTTTGGTGATGGCCTTCGCCAATGGAACGCTGTTCCTGCGCTGGTACTCCTCCCCTATCACCTGCAAGTCGATCTCAGCTCTTGTGGTCACAACCCTCGTCAGATCTCCCTCGTCTGTTCCACGTTTGTTGATCGCCGACCGGAGAACCTTCTCGAAGTAGAGTTCTGGTCGGGTCAGGCACTCGATCGTGGATCTCAGCAGGGCAAGGAACTCGTCGTCAGAATCTCCTCCGAGGTCCTGTCAGAGTAGGAAATGCCTTGAGCATCTTAGAGAAGAAGGAAGATTCCGTATAACTAACTATGTGTTTTATAATACCTTGAGGATCTCATGTCCATGCTCATCTTGGTAGTGGTTAAAAGTAGCATTGATCTGGGCTTTGCTCCTTGTGGACAGGATCCTGATAACATCTTCGTCGCTGTAGTGCTTGTCCTTGATCTTCTCGTGGATCAGCTTGCATTCCT